ATACAAATGCAATAAGTACATAAATACCTTCTAAGAACTCTATAAAACTTAAGAACTCAAGAATCTTTTACATTAGTTACAGCCAGTAGTTTTCCTCTCATACATTCAGTTATTTTTCTGTCAAACAGCACCATTTCTAGAAATGCAGGTGAAGAACACCCCCCTCACTCACTCACACACACACACAGTGTTAGGAAAATGGTATAACAGAAGTACAGGACAAATCAACCAGTAAATGTCCTCATAAAGCAGGTTTGAGGCACACTTTAGACCCCCTACTGATCCCCCACATTCCAAACAACACAGAGTGTTTCTTTCATCCTTGATGCTTCCTTTAACTGCTTTTTATTCCTCTACCACAATCCTATTTTCTTTGTTAGCCTTTAGCCTTGCCAAGCCTTCTTCCTCATGCATATGTTGTTGCTAAGCTCTTTGTTCTGCTGGCTTTCTATGTGCCCCTTGGTTTCTCCAGAGCTCTCACTTAGCTGCCTTCCATCATTTTTCCGATGCAGTGTTTATATCACATTTCCATTCTACATTCAATTGCATGTGTTATCACAAAACTGGTCAGCCATCTTCTTCATTAAACAACATTTAGATTTTATTGCACAGGATTGTATTATCTAAAGAAAATGAGCATTATTCTAAGCTGAACTATTCTTAGCTAAATTATTTATGGCACATATGCAAGAAGCATTATTTTATACTATATTGAAAGCAGTGTGAAATCATTGTTCTGATTTCCCAGACCTTCTCAGAAACTAGGGTGCCTAAGGCTTTCCTCAGAGACAACTACCATATTTTTCTGACTTTAAGACACCCCCATGTTTAGGACGCCCCACACTTTTCATACTGATCTCTGAGCGAGCGAGCAGCTAGCTGCTGTGTGTGCATGTGCCACCTCCCCCCCCGAGCCCACCCGCCTCCCCCCCCAAACGCACCCATGTTTCTCCCCCGAGTATAAGACACCCCTCCATTTTTAGGTAAATATTTTTAAGAAAAAGTATCATCTTATACACAGAAAAATATGGTGTTTAACAGAAATCTTTACCTGCTTCACACCAAGAAAAGTGAAGGCCATGCTACTTGTGCTTAAGAGAACCCACAATTGTTAAGTTTAACTCAGTTATACAATACAAATATGCTAATATACAAATAAAATAGTCAGGTAAACTAGGTTATGGTCTGTACATCATAATTAGGGCTGGAGAGCTACCAAAATTTCACTCATTTCAATAGGCTTACAAAGTATAATAACCACAGAAAGTGTATCTTTGGCTTTGAGATCCACGATCCAACTTGAGAAGACTCGAAACTAGCCTTGTTGAATCTCATGTCAGCACTATGACTGACTTAGAATCCCAGCATGAATTTACTTAACATTCAAGTTCACAACATGTGGGCTGTGTATCAGTAACAGGCTTTTTCGTTCTTTTTTAGAAAACAAATGTATTATTCAAAAGACATGGTATAAAAATTTCCAGCAGAAAAATACTCAAAATAGTAAATATTTTTACTAAATAAATACATAAGATGCATCAATCTGTTTAATATACTTCTGGCCTACATAGTTATTATCCTCTATATAGATACATCAGCAATACACCAAAACAAGATCTGCAAAGGTCGGTATTAACTTACTTTACTGTGAATCAACTCCAAAGGCTCTATCAAGTATATGTACGTACTATCTTCAAACATACCACTAAAATATAAAGAAGACATAAGAGCTCTAAAATTTCAAAGAAATGGGTCAATGAGATTACACAGTGTATACCTTTGTAGGAATACCAATAAATGTTCAGACTGAAATATCCGAGTGCTCTGCACCTGCACACAGCCTCTCTTCAGGAAGTTTGCATAGCTGAGAAGTGGGAATTCTTCCCCCATTGTTGGTACTGGCATATTACAATGTTTCTTGCCCATTCCCTCAAGTCACTCAAGACCAGCATTGTGGCCTCAGGTAAGATGGAGGACTGAACCAGCCAACCCTATCATGAGTCAAAGACAACTAACACCATATTGTATGGTGGCAATGTTCAAATGACACCAAAGAGGGGATGGATTGTGTGTATGCACAGAGGATCACTCAAAGAACAACTGCTACAGAGAAGCAACGTGATTTTCTTCTTTGTGGTCGCTGTGCATGACACATACGGGGCAATCAACAAGCTTACCTTCCAGAGGCAAGTCAGTAGAATTACCAAAGTATCAAAGAAAGAATCTCTCTTCCAAAGAAAAAATCTGCTCTAGCACACAGACTGAACCAGCAGCGTTTCATAAATATAAACAGGATAGACCATAAGTCTGGTAGAAGAATTTCCACGTGGAGAGCAGAAGAAGCTGCTATTACTGGAGTGAGTGTTTAACATTCCCAAAAGCTACAAGCCAGCTAGCTGACATGTCAAGGGGATTGCTTGTCCACCATTCTGAAAGTGTCTGCTAAAGAAAAACTTTAAATAAATAATTAATAAATGCTACCCAGGCTAACAATGTCTGGTAAAATACAGAAAAGCTCTTTCTTTTTGCCACTGTAGCAAATAAACAAAATCTGAGAGTGGCAGAATGATTCAGTCCTGGATTGACAGAATGCTAGTGCTTGGTGGATATCCAATTTGTGTACAGCAGCTGTCCAACTGAGTAAGAAGCAAAAACAGACTTGCAATATAATAGGTTGCTTAACATGAAATTCTGAAACTACTTTAGGAAGAAATGAGGAGCCTAGTTTTAACACTACCTTTGCTCTATGAAAAGCTATGGAGAGAGAGTCTACTCTGAGGGTGCAGCTCTTGCTGGAATGGTGGACGTATTTAATTGCCTCTAGAAAGGCTACCTTCCAGGATAGGAGGTCCATGTTGTTTGTCACCATGGGTGCAAATGGTCTTTTATGAGGGGCGTTCAATGTATTCTCAGTATCAGCATGAAGAAAAAAGAATAATAAATTGAAATCATTTTTATTTTTCAATGTAATCCCCAATAACTTCAATACACTTATTACATCTAGAAATTGACTTTTCAATTCCCTATAAAAAATACCCTTCCTCCTTGTCTAAAAAAATTGCGTTAATTGCCTCCTTGAGCTCTTCATCGTCAGAAAATCGCTTTCCACGAAGATCTTTGTTTAAATTCGGGAATAGGTAGTAGTCACTGGGGACCAGGTCCGGGCTATAGGGTGGGTGGTTTATTTCTTCGAAACCACAGTCTCACACAGCAGCCTTTGAAACACGCGCTGTGTGAACAGGCATGTTGTCGTGAAGAAGCAACACACCTGTGGTCAGTTTTCCCCGCCTTTTTCTTTAATTGCTTCTCTTAAATTACGCAGAGTGATTGCGTAAGATGCTGCATTTATGGTTTCAACTTTTTCGTGTACTTGATCAATAAAATTCCCTTTGAGTCCCAAAAACACTGTGACCATGATTTTTCCGGCCGATGAAGTGACTTTGAATTTCTTCGGAGGGTCAGCACCTTTTTTATGCCACTGCATGGACTCCTGCTTACTTTCAGGGTCATAGTGATGAACCCAAGTTTCATCTCTAGTAACAATCCGGTCGAAAATACTTGATAGATCTTCACCACGGAGCTCTAAAAACTCCCTACAGCACTCGACTGGCACTTGTTTCAGTGGTGCCATGAGCATTCGCGGCACCCATCTTGCACAGACCTTTGAAAGGTTAAGATGGTCATGAAAAATAGTAAATATGGTACCAACGGATAGGTTTGTCATCTCTGCTAACATTTTTTTTTTCGGGCATCTTCCAATACAAGTTTCTCAATTTTTTTCACATTTTCTTTCGTAGTGGCAGTAACCAGCCCGCCCGAGCGAGGGTCATCTTCAATGCTTTCTCTGCCCCTTTTAAATTCACTTGACCACTTTTGAATAGTAGATAATGAAGGTGCAGAGTCCTGGTAAACAGCTACCATCTCTTTGTGAATGATTTTTTGACTTTTTCCTTGTTTTGTGAGGAACTTAATCACAGTGCAGTGCTCGATTTTCTTCAACATTGTTGCATCAGTCATCATGGTCATCTTTCACTGAGGATTACTAAAGAACTAATTTCAAATTATTTGAAATTTTGCATGTATACCCTCAGATGGCGTCATTAGCTAATGAAATAATTAAATTACCCACATCAATAGCAAATCAACCCAATACCGAGAATACACTGAACGCCCCTCATAATAAGATCTAGCAGGACAACTGGCAAACACCAGTTAGCAGCTAGGGGGCTGTCATGCCTGATGGCTCAACAGAGACATCGACTCACGAGAAAGAGTCAAACATTCACAATGAGAATCAGGCATTAGAACAAGGGGACTTATACTTGGGGCCCAGTGCCCAAAAGGGCCCCCTGCAGCCTGACTGGGACTGCTGAGCAAGTAGCCCCCTCACACCCTGACTCTTTGGCTTCTGAGCAAATAGCCTCCCCACATCCTGACTGTGAGGATTCTGAATGAGTAGCTTCTCCTCATCCTGTCTCTGAGGTGACTGAACAAGCCCCCCCCCCCCCCGCCGCCTCCTGACTCTGAAGCTGCTGGGCAGAGTTTAGGAGAACAAGACGACATAACAGTGAATTTGGCAGACGCCCAACTTAGGAGGAGTTTAAGGTGTCTAGATCAATTGCGGCTGGACCAATTGAAAAGACAGGACAGAAGTTTGTCCCACGCACGAGCAGAAAGACGTCACAGGAAAATCTTTTCCCACATGGGCTTCTCAGATACTTCAGAAAGGAGGAGGCAACTGTGTTGCTAGGAGCTCTCCACTAGAGCTTATCTGTTGCATCGTAAATCTTGTAGAAAGTAGCAATAAAAGTCTTTAGTTTTATGGCAGGCTGCTGTGTAAGTTAATTGGAGACGTGAGTTACGACCTCACGACAGGGGCATGCTGGAGGAACAATGTCAGGAAGTCCACAGAGGAAAGGCAGGTTGCTTTCCTGTAACTGTCGTTCTTCAGTCGAGGAAGACTGAAAAGTATTCCCTTGAGAAGGCTAAGAAAGGCAGTTTGCTCACCTGTAACTGTCGTTCGAGTGGCCATCTGTGCATTCACACCTATGGGTGCTGTGCCTGCGCAGTGCCTGTAGCTAGGAAGATTCAAAAGCTTAACGGTTTTGGTGGGAACTCTACTCCCCTCCCCCACCCACAGTATAAGAAGGCAGAGTGTCCGCCATTTCCCCAGTCTACTGAAGACCAACCATTCACCCCCAAGTGGAGGCTGCAAGCATTACACATTCATATCATAATTAAATGAGCTCTCAATGAGGCACTTGCAAAAACATGCAATCGCATACCCAAGCTGGTTCAGTAAACCCAATCACCGACACCAAGTGGGGCCAGTGGGTGGTTTGTGTGAATGCAGTTGGCCACTCAAAGAATGATAGTTACAGGTAAGCAACCTGCCTTTCTTTATTGTGGGGTACAGTATCAAACTTGATTTTATATCTGAGCTCCACAATGGACAAAACCCACTGATCAGATGTGATGGACTCCCAAATGGGGAGTCAATTCTGCAGACAATCCCCAAAAGGAAGAGGGAAGGGTAAGTTTAGGAGCAGAGGATAGGTTCACTCGACCCGTCCATGTTGCTGCTTATTGGAGTCAGGGCGGCGACGACCCTGTAGATAGCGCTGAGCTGGTTGTTTGTGATTGCACTGCTGATGGGTCTGGAACTGCTGCCAGCTGGATTATTGCGGGTATGATTGATACCGATACTGAGGACAAGACCAGAACCACTTATGTCGACTCTGGGCAGGAACTTCCATACGCCAAGTGGTGACATGAGCCTCATGGATATTCTTCAATTTGTGGTCCGTCTTCATGTTGAACAGCCCAGAGTCTTCAAAGGGCATGTTCTCGATCCTTCTCTTGGTCTCGTGTGGGAAGTTGCAGCTCCTGAGCCAGGCATGGCGACAGAGAGCTACAGCACCAACAAGGGCCCTCGAGTAGCAGTCGACATGATGCCTCGCCGCAGAAGGTTGTTGAATGGCCACCTTCATCGCCTCTCAAGTAAACATGCAGGGCAGATGCCTTTGCTGCCCCGGAAGCAACGCCATGATGTTCTCCAACTTCTGCATCAAGAAGTATTGATATCTTGCCAGTGTCGCCTCATAGTTGGAAATACAGAGGCCGAGACCCACGGCGGTGTAGATACAGTGAGCCATCATGTCAACTTTTTGCCCTTCCTTCTCTAGAGGAGTGGAGTGTTCCCTTGTCTCCCGGCCCTCAGACGACTTCATAACAATAGAGTTGGGCTTGGGATGACGCGGGAGGAATGGGATAACTTGTTCCCGTACCCTGTACATTGACTCATATCACTGTGAAGTCTGTTGCGGCTGGTTGAGGAACTGCCAGAATTCAGTCATCGCCTGACACAGCATTGTAGTCAGAGCCAGAACAATGGCAGAAGATTGTTCCTTCTTCACGATGATGTAGAAGTTGTTGTTACTGAGATCGAAACGGTGCTGGGCTTCGATCTCCAGACTCTAGCCAATCGAGCCATCAGTTCCCCAAACATAGAGTATGACTCCTCAGGCGAGCTAGGGCCTTGCATTGTAATCACCGCGTCCAGTGAAGTTGATGCTGCATCTGAGTCCTCCGAATCAGAGTCATACTAGAATGGAGGACTGGAAGAGGAGTCTGCCGGTGAGGAAGGGTGCCAGGGTTGAACAGCTGCTGACATCGAGGGAGCCTCTCTCGGTATTGGAGACGAGG